ATGTAGTCCTCTTCTTGAAACAAGAACACGTGGCAGAATTGTTTTTGTGACAGTGGCTGAATGTCACACAAATGGACACATTTTCTTCTTGTCACCATCCTTTTCATGTGAGCCCTGATGAAATTTTTTTCCCCCCTCTCTCTCTCTCTTTCTTCCTCCTTGTAGACGTTGATGACTGCCAGTCGGAGCCATGTGAGAATGGAGGCACTTGCATCGACAAGATTGATTCTTTCCTCTGCCTTTGCCTGCCCAGTTACGGAGGAGACACGTGCGAGAAAGGTGAGAGGTGAAACACTGAGCCGGCGCGAAGAAACAAAACAAAGGATGACTCGGAGAAGTCACGGCAAAAGCGCCATTGACTCATTTGCGCGATGCTAACGGAGGGTGCCGCACACTGCTTAGAAGTAATGAAATATAAATTCTTTGTATCTGTACGTACTTTTACTTTTTTAGGACTTTTACTCACTACATTTGTAAACTGAGAGCTTGAGAACTTTTTACAGGTGGGGAAGGAAAAAAAAAAAAAACTCGGGGCGGCAACGACATGAAGGAACTTGAACCGGGAAGCATTCACGACAGCAAGACGACCTTCAAGCAACGCAAACAAAATCAAACAAAAGAAATTGTTGACGTGCAATGCAAATCAAAAGCGCACCCGCTATTATAAAAGCGTGTGCGATGTGAGTGTGTGTCTTGTAATGAGTATTAATGAATCTGTCATCTTTGCAGCAGTCATTGTATCCTCTGTGTTATTTATGGACATTGAAGATGCAGGGAGAGAAGAGGCTGCGTGAAAACCGTCCTTTATGTAGTGCTGCAAACTGCCAAATGCTTCTCCTCCCTTCGACATTACTCTTGCTCTTTCAATTAGAATATATGAATCCCCCCCCCGCAGACATAGAGGGCTGTGAGCACGGCTGGAGGAAGTTCCACGGCCATTGCTACAGGTAAGAAAATGATTGCGTAGCGGTCCTCAATCTTTTTCGTGCCATGGACCGTTTTCACAAAAAGCAGTATTTTGACAGATCGCCATAGAAACATAATAATTATGCAATATCACACGAAAGGGTGTGGCTTTGTACTGTGTAGCATCACAGCTGTGATTTGCTCATAGACATTAGATCGTAGGCCGAAGAGACTCAACAATTCTACAAGTGCCGTCTTTCAGTTAACAGTAATAAGTGAAAACAAATTATGATTTGTTCATGTAATCAATTTTTAGGACAGTGGAATCGTTCCACATTGAGCGGTTTCGCTAATCGGTTGGCGGTCAGGTATCTCGACTGTCTGAAAGTAAAAAGTACATTGAACACAACACAAATTATTTTGAAAGTAGCTTTAAAAAAAAAAGCCATGCTGTGATTAATTGCTCTCGAAATAAATTACTTTTTTATTTTTTTTGCTTTCATGATGAGCTTCGAATCAGTGGCAGAGGAACTTTATTGAGCCGGTGTGGAAGATGGAAGCGGGACAAAATACGTGGGTGTTTTTTTTCGGTCTCTCAGGTACTTCACCCACAGACACACGTGGGAAGACGCGGAGAAAGACTGCAGAGAGCACAGCGCCCACCTGAGCAGTGTTGCCACCGCCAATGAGCAAGAGTTTATCAACGGTAAGTTGTTGTTGTTGTTGTTAAACACAAACACAACAATGCGGAAACAAATTTCATAAAATTATCTACGCCCACTGTCCAAAATGTTTAGGGATTCTTACACCATCTAACAAGGTCCAATGAGACAATTACTATAAAATAAATAAATAGCCCGTGACCCTCGTGAGGATAAACGGATGGAGAGGGTCGTGAATCTGACTGTCCTTATCTTTGTCTCATGTTGTAATTTGTTGACATGTTAAGAAAAATATATACAATTTAAACAGAGGCAATATCGGCCAATTCATTCGCCAATCTGTCAGCACTAGTACATATACAATATTTATTGGTGCTTAATTCCTTACCTTTAACCCTTTCAGGGGCAGTGGTTACTACAGTGGACAGCTTGTCATGTTATCAGGTTACAGGGTGCATGAAAGGGTTAATGACAGGATGTTGTTTTCTGGTTGTTTTGAAAGGTCTCGGCCATGACAACGCCTGGGTGGGTCTAAACGACCGCACAGTGGAGGACGACTTTCAGTGGACTGATGGCAACGAATTGGTCAGTGAGCACTCTTTGATATTGCCGCTGTCTGAAAATGTATGTTCGCCAAAACGTCTTTGTACAAATAGCAGCGAGTTGAATGAAAATACTTGTGCTTTTTCCTCATCCGTCCCATAAAATGGAATCCAGATTCCAGTCGTGCAGCCTGCTGATAAATCAAGCGGAATCATTTCTTTTGCAGGTGTACGAGAACTGGCGGGAGAGCCAGCCGGATAACTTTTTTGCAGGAGGCGAGGACTGCGTGGTGACCATTGCTCATGAGGATGGCAAATGGAACGACGTGCCCTGCAACTACAATCTGCCTTACATCTGCAAGAAGGGAACAGGTACTTTTTACTCAACTCACAGAATGCAGACAGAGTGAAGCAAAAATACTGGGGAAGCTCCAAAGCGGTGCTGATTGATTTAATAAGGTGGCTTGGATGTGGATCGTGACAAATTCAAGTTTGACAACCCCTGCGTCTACTTCGGTCCTCTTTCCAGTGTTGTGCGGGACCCCACCTGCCGTGGAAAACGCCCACCTGGTCGGTCGGCGGAGGTCACACTATGACATCCATGCGGTGGTGCGCTACCAGTGCTCGGAGGGCTTCTACCAGCGTCACATTCCCACCGCCCGTTGCAGGGCCGACGGCAGCTGGGAGCGACCCAGGATCATCTGCGCCAAATGTAAGTCCGCTCAATGTTATGGATTTGAATCCTTCACATCATTTTCAACGGTCTTTGGAGCCATAAATAAGTCTTTTTGAAAAAAGACAAAAATAAAGACCGTCCTTAAAGCTAAAAATACCTTGATCAGGTTTTCATCCAAAGAACAATGACTGTGGGATGTCGTGTTTATTAAAAAAAAAAAAAAAAAACACCTTATTTGATAGTGTACTTTAAGAACACATTTCCGCCTAGAAGATAAAATATGGGCACAATGTTAATAATAGCACAAAACCTTTATTTTCAATCAGAGAAAGGCACCGCTTATATTAATGTTACTGTTGAAAATGTTGAGACACAATCAAATGTTTAATTTAAGCCAAAGGTTTGAGTGTAAAAGTCCATTACATAAAAGGTGCTTTTCTGGGGTAACAAGGTAACATGCCAGCGCAAGGTCGCGGGGTGTAACCGCCCTCTGTCTCTGGATGGATGGGGTTTTTTTTTCACTCTGGCATGATGGTTTCTTCGAGGCACACCAATCATTTTATTCATCAACTGTCGTCAGGACATACTGAAAGTTTGATAGAACATTCCAGAATCTGCCTTTTTTTTTTTTAATTTTACTTAAGTACAGGGGTTGAATCTGCATTCCGCTTCAGAGTATGACTCCTTAGCCATTCCTGCTACTAACCGACTCGCACGGCCTTACAGCCCGGCGCTCCCACCGCTACCGACGCCATCATCGCCGAGAGCGCCGTGAGCGTCGCGGCCACAGGAGGCACGGCGAGGGCCACAAGGCCAGAGAGAACGCGCACAGCTACGACTGAACCAAATCACACGCCGCCTGCAAAGCCGAGGTGCTACTTGTGGCTCCGGTGGCTCCCGCAAGCAAAGCAGTGATTTCCTCGGTCTGCTTCTAACTGCTTTCTCCCTCCTGACGAGTACGTAAGGTTTTATTACTCTCACACATAGAGGTGATCTCATTAACTGCACCGGCTTTGGCTGTTTTAATGTTTTGTTTTTGTTTCCCCAACTTTTAAACTCACTTCCTTTAACTAAGGTCCAACGCGAACACTAACCGTAACACTAGATCTCACGCTCCCTAATCTTTCCCTCTCCCGCCCGCCATGAACTTGAGTCGGTCAGACTGGCGGCAGAGTGTGTGTGCGTGTCTGCGCGTGCATGTAAGAGAGGAATGTTTTTGGTTTGTGATATGAAAATGACTCATCGAGTATTCTGTTACAAAGCACACGTCATTGAGGCAAGAGAGCAAGGTGACCCTCGGCTTTTTCTTTTTTTGTACGTGCAAGCACACGCATTGCGAATTCGATTTCTTCTACTGACAAGCTTTTTTTTTTTAAATATCTGCTCCCTTTTCTGTCACATTTTATTTATTACTTTTGCTAGTGAAAATGCTCTTCTGTTATTTTGTACTTATTTGGTGGAACATGTTTTGTTTTGTTTTTTCTAATCCAGTATTATGTCATACGGTCAGCCAGTATTAACATGAATCAGTTGATTGTCTCTAATCTTGAGTATTGTACATATTGTGGTGTTTACTGGCTGATGTTTAATCAATAGCTGGACCTTGTCCAATCGGATCATGCGCCTCAAGCACTCTGTGTGACTCAGTGAGTGGCATTGACAACTTGATTGATTATATGAATGAGATTATTTGACTCCACTCACTCGTACCTAAATTGCTTAAAACTTCCTTCCATCATTGCATGGCTACATTTACTTGATGGCTAGAATGTGGAGATTATTATTATTTTATTTTTTTGGTCTTTGATATTTGAATGAATTGTCATCTACCTTTTTTGGTGTTCTTATGACGTCCTGTTGTTGTTTCATTCTTAATAAAGAGGAAAAGGATACAGCATTTATGATTGTGTATTTTCAATGATTATCAATGAGAATAGGGAGAAATAGCCAAATAGCTAAGAACTCGACTTTTTTAGGAGCTTTTTGTTTTAAACTGCTCCCAATCGCAAGCTGACAATGATGTCACGTGATAGATAGCAGATGATCCATCCAGGGTTCACCTCTTATCAGTTATATGGGCCAGCAGCGAGCGGCACGAAGAGCACTGTGACATCATCATTGGGTAAAAGATCAGCGCCACTCAAGCCAGTGTTAGCGTGTCAACGGTGAACCGCTAACTAATCAAATTCCAATTAAAAACACGTTGAGCGCAGATTGTATTTCATAATAATCATCACCTTTATTTTTCAATATTAAAATTTGCAATAGTATGTCATTTCTTGCATTTGTGGCATGATCTTTTTAACTTGAACCTTCCTGTACACTTTCGCTTTGAATTCAATTCGGTTCTGTTTTGTTCACAATTGTTTTGATACCTTAGATCCTGGAATTAAAATGGTGGTGTTATTTAATTCACTCAACTGCTGAAGATGAAGATGAGGAGAGACAGGAAGTGGATGTGTTGCATGAGTCACCCGAAAGCTGTGCTTGCTGATCACAGTCCTCACCCCCATTAAGGACCTTCGTATCAAGGTCCAACAGTCCAGACAAGGGAGTGCTGCACTGGGCCACTCGCAGCAACATGATTGCGACTTTCCTCCAGGTATGGGGCTAGAACATGTTGGGTGTTGCAACAAGTAGTTTTTTTCGTGAGGCAGTCATCTTGATAGAATGTATACCTGGGGGAAGCCTTGACTTTTGCGCGGTCTAGTTTTTCTTCTTTTTGCTATTGCTCTGTCCTTTGGGAACGGGTTTCATGAAATAAGCGGGACTGTAGTGGCAGCGCAGAGCCAGCAGAGCGGGCACGACAGCAAGCAGTACATTGAAGGTGATAACGGTCCACAATTTGTCTGCTGGGACTCGGTATGTGAAGGGGGTGCGGGAGTGTAGAGATGCGCCGATGTGGCACCACTGGGCCTGGACGCAGGGGGAGGGATGGAGAGAGAGGGGGGAGATGGACAGAGAAAGCGAGTGAGTAGGCTTTCGTTCTAAAAATAAAACATAGGAAATTTACTCATACAACATTTAAAAACATGACAAGAACACTTTACCTGGGCGGTGGCTCCAGCAAAGACGAGAGTCCAGTCTAGCATCCAGCTGCAGCCTGGTCTTATCAGACCATAGAGGAGGAGGCTCATCAGGGGCACAGCATAGAACAAATAGACCAGCATCTGTTGGAAATACATTATATCTTTGATCAAATATTCTGCGTACCACAAAAAAGGTTTAAGAATGCGTAAACTGAATACAATGAATTAGGGAATGACTACCATCTGGTAAATTGACACAGCAGAGAGAAATTGCCAAGTATATTAAATGAAGCTTCAAAATCATGCAAAATCAAGCCCTTGTCTGAATGAGTGAAACCACGCACCGCTGAAAAATGGATGCTACTTCATCTCGGATCTTTCTTAAGTCCCCACAAGTTTGAGCCATGAAAATATATACAATAAAGCCTCTGGAAGCTGGAATATATCAGTCCAGGTCATGGTGGAGCATTTCCACAGTGCGATGAGAGGCACTAGCCACCAGCTACCAGCTCCTTTTGTTTTTGATGTAAATTCTAAGATTGGGATTTAAATAATGAGATGGAGCTGTTCTATAATTTGCGGCTTCCAGGGAAGATGCTCGCAAACCGTTGTGTTGGAAATGGGCCTAGTAATAATAACTAAGTAACTCACAATCGCAGCTGATAACCGTTGGGAGTTTAAAATACAAAATACATAAGCAATGCCATTTCCGTATCCTGAAATGCAACTGGTAATTTGTGCAAAGGCTGCAGTTGTTTGTGATTCTGTTGCTTTATACACTGTGATCAGCAAACCAGAACAGAGCACGTCAACTCTACACAAAACGTTGAACACAAACGGACAACACCACAGCTTTTGTGGAAGTGAGACAGTTGTATACATTTATTCTCCCTCTGACTCACCATCACTCTGGGGAAGCCCACCGGATCTTTAAGGTAAGGTTCAAACTGATAAATGTATCTGAAACAGAAATCCAAAGGACAATCCAGCACCACCTGAAGAACAGCAAGAAGAAAGTTTTCGTTTTTACACAGATTATTGGCTTTTTTCTTTTTTTTTTTAAGCTGCTCTACTCACAAAGCCTCTAAAAACACAGCCGGCCACACCTCCCAGGAGCAACACGGCAAACTGCAGGTCAAGCGGACGAGATAACAGATCTTTCTTTTGCTCGGCCATGATCTAGTCAACACAGACGGTTTCAAAGTGATGTCATCATTGAACGTGAGAAGAAAATGATGGATTAAGAAAAATGGTCTTCTTGAACACATCGATCTGAAATTTGCTAACATTACATTTGGCTGTCTCAGAAGAAACCGGGGCTATGACTTTTTTTACCTTGTCTGCTGTGATGATAGGCATCACTCTGGGCCTGCTAAAAAGGATGGAAGCTGCCCAGAAAGGTGCTAAAAAGAAGGGAACATTTCGCCAAAAAGCTGGATAGATGTTAGATCCGTGTTTACCTTAAAAAAAAAAAAGATGGAAAGAAGAACTTAGTCGAGGACAAATTAGTGAACAACAAGATTCTGCTTCCATCCCTCAAGGTTGAGCAACTATTTTTTTGCAGTCGACAATATCTCCAACACCTTGTGGAAAGATTTCCGGAAGAGTGAAACACTTTACATCCAGAAGTCCCAAAAATTTCATTCATATCATTTATGTTCCCAAATTCTTATGAACCCACCTACAACCACTCCCGGGATGTGAACAAGTTGATGCATGATGGAGGACCCCACCCAAAGCAGTGAAAGGCTGCGGTAAGATTTCCTGCAAGGACCAAAACAATTTAAAATCCTCTCATAAAATAGATAATCCAGAGAGAAAAAAAATTATCATGCTCGTAATTAATCCTCAATTTACCTTCTGAACATGCGATGGATGATGACGAGAAAGAGAATCAAGTGAACGACACCTTCCCAGTATGACATCATCACAGCATAGGCAGTACTCAGGTGAGGTTCACCCTGCAGAGACAGCAGCAAATTGTCATTTTCAGCTTTAAATGAAGCACAAATATTGATTTCAGCGGAGTACATGAAATGTTACCATCTTGAGGTAGAAGCCCATGAAGCCTGATATGAAGCCATCCTGCTCCAGGGCATTCGTCAGACCCACCAGACAAGTAAAAGAGAAAACTGCAAACACTGGACACGCAACAAAAGTGGCACAACTGTTAAAAAAACAAACAAACAAAAAATGCAACTCATCCACCTTTAATTTTACAGTAAATGTCACGGCTGGTCTGTCCCTACCATAAAATAAAGGATCCGCTGTCTTTTTATGTGGTGCGGTTAAGAGGAGTAGGAGAAGAAGAACAGATCCCAGGATGGCCACTCCGATTCCCAGGATGGGCAGAGGCCTGCAGGAAGAAATGATGGATGACGGGAAAAAAAAATCCCTCAGATTTTGTTTTAATTCTTAAAGCTATTTGAAAAATCACCCCATTCATGCCACCAATGCCATCATCGAGTTTGATGACCACGCTGTGATTGTAGGAGTGATTACAAAACAATGATGAACTCTGACTACCCGGCGTCTCCACAATAACCTTGATAGAAACGCATCCCAGACCAAGAAACTCATTGGAAGTCTGAGCGCCTACACTCTTTCCAGCAGAAGGGGAGGACGTTGCGAAAGAGGTTTAAGCTCCTGAGAGTACACATCTCAGTCATTTGAAGTGGGAAAGCCGGCAACTTTACTTCTTCGGAAAGTAAAAACAGTTTCCTCCATCTCCTGCTGTTTTTTTTTTTTTTTTTTAACAGTAAAACATTTTCAACCTTGCACAGTGTGGTTCTCCAGCTGCGGTGCAGAGAACAGGTAAAGCCTGCAGCGAGAACCTTGGGGCTACATTGGCCAAAGAAATGCTCGAAAAATCAACTCATGGACATTCCCTTTTCTTACAGATGTTCTTATATATTATTACAGTGCAATTCTTGTTCCTGCTCATGTCAGAGATCATACCAACCCAATTTGCAATTACTTTCTGTGTGTAATTTACCTTCCGAGTGCCACATTTCAGAATCAATATCGAACAACATGACACAAAAAAGAAAAGAAAACCACACAAACATCACATTCACCAAAGATGCTTACTATTAAATCTATTAATGAGTGGGGTTCACTATAGACATGTTCTGCTAGTAAAACTTGAATGCAAAGTTTTGTTCTGACCAATCATTGAGAGTGTTAAAAATTATTGACATTATTGTGGGCCACCTGCTTGGTTGGTCCCATGAGGACAATTTTTAAAAATCTGATTGGTTGAAGAATCAGTCCCATTGCAATTTCATGTAACAAATACTTCTGATAGTGCTCGTTTAAGTTTTAAATGAGGCTACAACAGATAAATCGTCAACAAAATAGACTCCGTGCCTTCATGCAAGCCAAAACGGAGAGTGAAACCATTTTAGTGCGAACAAACTTACTCATGGAGTGCAGGGACATTGTTCATGGTGTACAAGACTGCAGGAGCGAGCAGGGAGAGGCCCAAAACGCACATTTCCTCGGGAAGCCTCATGGTCCAACGCTCAGCTGTTGCTCTTTGGAGACAGGAGAGAGCCCAGACCAAAATAGGCCCCAGGTACTAATTTAACGTCGCAAAGAAACGGGTGGACACATACTACTGCGCGGTCTACTCTCCTTTTGTGATGAATCAACACTAGTACGTGTCCAGTCTCCACCTTCCCAAGCAGGTCTCAAAGTCCAGCTCCGGTGGTAGAGACTCAAATTGAATTATGTGTTTATTCGGGAGCGTCGGAAGGCACATTACGACACCAAAATTCGTTTCTTTTCACATGAAAGTGTTCGTCATTCGTGGGGATTTTTTTCTCCTCACACTTGAAGTAATTTGTGGCCATTCTCCCATTTTCTCTTTCGTACCCTGTGTCGATGGTGTAATTTAGCCAACACTGTCATCTAGTGGGGATAGTTTTTCATGTCAACTAAACTCGTCGTTCTCAATCTTTTTACACGTGCAAAAAATACTTAGTGTTCAAGTACAGCGGTGTCTTGAGATATGACTTACATTTGTTCCGTAGCTCAAATTATCCTTCCCATTTAAAGAAATGGTTTTGCCATGAATCCGTTCCAGAAATCCCCACATCCCCCCAAAAATATAAACTAAAAATGTTGTAATGCGTACTTTAATCAGGGGGGAAAATGAATCCATAATTGTGTGTTTTACAGAAACATACAATGATGACATTACTAAATACAATTAAAACTAAACAAAACACACACTGCATCAACCGAATGCCATTGTTGGTACAAACAATGGCCAATATTAAACCAGTCAAAAACTTTTCTATTCAATAGTATGAGAAAGTGTGTCCAAATATTTGATATGTAGGCTACTGGCACTATCTCATGCAGTGTGATGTTGGGTCCCTTCTGTTCTTTATGTACATTGCCAGAAGTGAAGTGAATTTGTTCGATTCCTTAGGGAGCCATCTGTCATGTTTGCTATAAGATTAACAATTTCCCTGTAGGATATTTCCATTCTTGATTAGATTCCGGATTACATACATTGGTAAGCAGTAAAGTTCTTAAAAGGAAATGTTCTCTTTGTTCAATCCATCACATTTTCTTTCACATGAGGATCCAAGTGCGTTATGCAACGTCTTCGGCATAAACATTTCCAAAGCAGGCCGTCATCTAATGCAATTTATCTTCTGCAACAAAGCGGCTGAAGAGGATTACTCTCGTGTTGCCACAGAAACTTAATGGCCAGTGAGAGTGGAGAGGGGAGGAGTGCCCGAGTAGAAAGACAAGACAGTCGAGCCTTGACCCCCCCTCACAGCACACAAACATCCATTTCTGAGGTGTGCTCACTTTTGTGTGTATTCCATCATGCTGCATCCCCTAATAATCGGCATTATGACCGTCAACACCTCTCTCACCGTCATCTACTGGACCTTCCTCTTGGGTGACGTCTACTTCAAGTGGATGATGGAGCCCGAGGACAAGCCCAAGAAGGTGGTCACCCCCGCCTGAGGGTCTGACATGAGCCCACCTGACCTAAAGTGTTGTTTGCGTCTAGGACAATAGGCAGCTTTTAGAGATTTTCTTTTGGCGTTTCTTTTTTCTGGAGAATATTCCAGATTCACAGTGAGAAGAAGGAGTCAATGAAACAGGTATGTTCTCATACTGATCTACAGAACATCATGGTGTTATGTTCTTATACTGTTATCTATACCGTTGCGCAAAACACCACTCTAAAATCATATTTAATCGCTACTATGTTGAAATAAAATGACGAGCTGACAGTGTAATCTGGATACACTTAATCTTTGTGGCGGATGCACAAAACGGGCGTATAAAAGGCGGACTCAAATGTATCCAACCATTTTTCATTCCTTATTGTTTGGAAAAGAAAATTCCAGACTTTCAATCTTGAGGCACCATAACGCAGCATGGCTCCCGCAGAGCGAAAGGGAGGTGGAATTTTACAATACTTTTCGGAGACGTGTCCAAGACAGTTATTAGATTTGTTATGAAGCTCTTTTCAATTTCTAAACTTGATTAGTATTTTGCGGAAAAATAACAGATGAGGCGGGGAAATATCAAGACCATCCTTTTTTTTTTCTTTTAATTGACCCTATGTGGCCACACAAGGTTTCAACCTGAGAGCCACCATATTTAGGAACAAGCTGTATTTCTAAGTCAGTTTGAGAACTTCAGGACAGACTGTACAGTACACAAGCAACGTGCTAATATGCTGACTTGATTAAAAGGAAGCTGTGTGGTGATGACATGTGAACAAAATCCTAATCGAGGATTACAACGGGGAGCACCTTGACTGCGCGGCCGGACTCTTCGAAGAGACATTTTGAGACGACGTCGCTTTTTCATCTCGCTCAACATGAGCCACGAATTCTACTGCGGTCTGCACCCGGTGTCCTGGTTCATTCTCTTCGCAAACGTCGCCGTCATCATTCTGGAATGGCAGTTTGTCATCTCTCGCTTTGTCCAAATTAACATGCCGCGGACAGAAAACAAGACGAAGCCCTAAAGGAAGAAATGTGGTGGACTTCTGGATCATAGCTTGTGTTTACACTTGTCGATAGAAGTAATGATGGTGCGTTTGTGCTGACTGTGACAAAGGCATCACTTAAGGTGGGTTACGTTGACTTTTTTCTTCTTTGTGGTCCTTTTCAGATGCACCGGACATCCACTAATTTAGAAAACCTTTTATTGAGGAAAAGCTCTGAGAAGGCAACAAATCTTGATTTCCAGGTGAGGGATTTTCATTTTAAATAAGATGTAAATATTTTCATTGCAATTTTTCTGAACTCACGTTTGGCAATTGGATCAGAATTTGTTCTTTTTCACCGTTTTAAAACATCTGCTTCAGGATAATGGATACAATTATAAATAGTTATATATTTTATTTTAAATGTTACTATGCAGTTTTAACTCATCCATCCATCCATCCATTTTGTACATGGCTTATCCTCATTAGGGTCACGGGTGAGCTGGAGCCCATCCCAGCTGACTTCGGGCAATTAGCAGGGTACACTCTGGACTGACTGGTTGCCAGCCAATCCTACGGCTGTTATCAATAATTTTTTTTTTTTTAATCACCTCACATTCAAACCTGTGGACAATATAGATCCATCAATGAACTTAAGATGTATGTGGGAGGTGCCAGAGTAGCAAGGCAAAACCCACACATGCACAGGGGGAACATGAAAGCTCCAGATTGGAAGGCCGGACTCCAGGTTCAAATCCAGAACCTCAAACCCATGAGACCGATGTGCAAAGCGCTTGTCTACTGGAAGCGCTTTTAACTCAACCAAATGAATGACTAAATTAAATGTGTTTCATGGTGATGATGAGATGAGATGACCCTCGTGAGGATAAAGCGATATCATTTTCCATCTTGACCTGATCATCTGGCCCTTTGATAAAGCACAGGGCAGTTAAAGAAAATAAGCGATGACCTTTATAACATCAGATCCCGTATCTAGTGATGAGTCTGTTTTAAACCCGGTGCGGTGTTCCTTTTAATGTAAGGATCACACCGATGATGTGGTCATAAGCCTCTTTCGTGTATTACCGTCCACCTCTCTGTACTCATATCTGTAACCCCTCTAACAGATGGAATGCTGATATTGCTTGGCCACACTGCCAATCCTATTAACTCTGTCCTATATTTACCTCTCCCGTGGCTCACGTTCCCTGCTGGACTTTTGCTTTCAAAGAGATCATCCATTTGTTGAAAACAGCTCAACCATGACTGTGTCCCTGAACGCCTCACGGGGGAGCTTTGCCGTGGAATTCCCCACAGCTTGTGTTTGAACACTGTAGGCTCCTTCAGATGTCCGCAGCGAATAATGAAGAAGAGGACAGAGACCATGAGGCCTATTTCTTGGACTACATCCCACTAGCAAGAGATGCCATAACCCTGCCACGCAATGTAGTCTTCGTCCTCGTTGGGGTGGTCTTGGTTCTAGTAGCCACATACGCCATAGTGGGACACCTGATCAGAGATCTCATGCATGACCTTGCAGGTAACTTGAGACAGAAAGCACCTGTCACCTCTTTGGTGCTTTGTCACCAAACCAGTGTTTGGACCCGGAACTGTCCCAAGGCTTCATTGGTATTGTGACCCGGTATTCACCACGTGGGTTGATTTTATCCTCCATCCAATCCTTTTTCATGTGTTGGTTTGCTTCAAAACAACAATCTTCCATCATCGTGAAGGTGAACCCAAGCAAGTGTGTTTTGCATGAATGACGACCTCAGCAGTGCCAATAGCCACTATGAAGTGCTAATCAAGTGGACGCCAGAATGGATGGATGGACGGATGGGCACATGAGTGGGTGCTGGGTGAATAGATGGATTGGGGTGGATGGATGGCGGAATCAATGGTTTGGTAAATGGATGATGAATGGATGAATAAACTGATGCAAGTCATGGTTGAAATGTGAACTTCAACACACACTAGTGACCGATTGTTTATTTTATCCGCTGTTCTTCCCCTCAGACTGGATTCTCGGCCCCAAACAGGTGGAGGATCGTTGTGAGCAAGACAGAACAGCAATAGAAGATGAAAAGCAGCCGAGTGTGTGTGGTCATCCGACGGAGAGACGCCAAATGAAAATGGAGGAAGAGAAAGAAAGAAAGATGTTGCCAAGTTGCCAGCATCCATCCAGCCCTCCTCCTCCCAGAAGCGTCGTCCCTTCATTGCAAGAAGATCCTCCCATGGCATGCCGGTGAAATGCCCCCTTGAGCCCTGATGTCACCTCCCCTTTATGTCCATTGATGATGTCATCACTTCCCCCCCACCCCCCAATCATAGCAATCTCTGTCGTGATGCTTTAGTAAATGCGTTTGTCGTCTTCTTTCGCTGTGTATAGCCTACTTCATTTGCAGATAATGAGCGCAAACCTTTCGTGATGACACTTCCATAATGAAATCTGTCCCTATTGTGAATAATTCTGTATTGCACCCCGATCACAAACAATGACAACATGCACACACAAAAAAAAGACAATGTGACATATTGAAATTGATGTTGAATGAAAAAAAAACAACAACAACAACAAAAAGTTATACTGTATTATATTCAATACAATTTCCTAGTCCTGTCATATTAAGCTTTTTTTTCCCCCCAGTAAACAACTTAACAATACAACTTGTCTGGTGTGCTCTCATTAATCCATTTCACCATCCTGCTTACGTGTAATACCTGCACTGGTCAGCTACAGTCAGCTTATTGGTCAAGGCCGAAGGATTACTCAACATCGCATTATTCAACATTAGAGTGATGGATTGATAGATATAGCGATTATATATTATATTATACCATTTCTCAATACAGGTCGAGCCAATATTCTAAATCTGTAATTATATACCTTGTAGAATGCTCCCAAGTACCACTTGAGTAGCCCACAAGTCTGCTCTAAAAATAGCTCACCGGTGACATGAAATAATAGCTTCGCTTCCAGTAAGCTTCACCAAAACTTCTTGCTGCAATTGTTTTTAAAGCACACTTGCACTGATGTAAATTTGGTAATAACAATATCCTAAAAATAAATAGGCGGCTCGGTGGCCCAGTGGTTAGCGCGTCGACCTCACAGTGCAGAGGTGGCGGGTTCAAGTCCAGCTCCGGCCTCCCTGTGTGGAGTTTGCATGTGTCTTTCCTGCGTGGGTTTTCTCCGGGTACTCTGGTTTCCTCCCACATTCCAAAAACATGCATGGCAGGCTGATTCAACACTCAAAATTGTCCCTCGGTGTGAGTGTGAGCACGGATGGTTGTACGTCTCTGTGTGCCCTGCGATTGGGTGGCAACCGGTTCAGGGTGTCCCCCGCCTACTGCCCGAGGACAGCCGGGATACGCTCCAGCACCCCCCGCGACCCGAGTGAGGATAAAGTGGATCTGAAAATGGATGGATGGATGGAAAGATGTATTCGAAACACAAAAAGTGTGACAGAAGCAACACAATTCTGTTTGCCTGAGCGTACTGTGTCATCATGAAAATGGCCTGCTAACCTTGAGTGCCTCAAGCTGCTCTAATCTCCTTCCATGAGCTTGGCTCAACATCGGACAGACACTGATTTGCTCAAGTGAGGGAGTGGGGGGGGGACGAGGTTTCCTCTGATCTCTCACAGCATTTTGCCTGAAGATTTTTTTTTCCCCCTCCTAAACTCTTTCAGCACCACAATGGGATTTCCTCACTGAAGTCTTCTGAAGCCTGCAAGAGCCATGGAGGTGCCTGCAGACAGTTTAAAGGTCCGTTACAAAGAGGAGGACGGGACGGTGTTGTTTGAGAGCTACATACCCCCGTCCAGGGATGCCATTCACCTGCCCACCTATGTGCTCTATCTACTCATGGCCATATTCATCGTGCTCGGGGTTCTCTACGCCATCATCGGCCACCTCATCAAGGACCTCATACACGACTTTGCAGGTGTGTGGCGATGAATTATTCCCAATTTTTTGTGAACCATTGCTCATATTTTACATTAACATTTCACGGCACACCATCAAAACAACACTGTACTTCGGTATCCCGTGTAAAATTCTGGCTTTTGCCAAAACAACACTGTCACAAAAAGAACTGTATGTACAGTTTTTCTGAAATAATGATGATGTCATCATAACTCACTAATGTACTTCGGTATCCCGTGTAAAATTCTGGCTTTTGGTACAGCAAAAGTGTATTTTTTTCCCCCTGTACGTCAACACCTATTCGAATGAAAAACAAGTCAAAAACTGAGTAGCATTGTGCCCATGCAGGTTCACCATCTATTCGTGATGGGGCGACATAACTTGCAGATGTCGAATGTTATGTTTTCCAGACTGGCTCTTGGGGGAGCAGCCTGAAGAAGTGGTGGTCAACTATTGTGAAGCCAAAGACAAATTCGTGGCCGACTGGTGTCCAGAAACCACGCCAGAGCTGCAGGAGATGGCCCGAGCTGAGAACAGGATGGCCGAGAAGGATTTTATGAAGTCGCCGGCTATCTGGGTCATCTCCAAGGAGCCTCGGGAGAGCAAAACAGGCCCCCGTGTGGTCTTTGGGAAGAGGAGTTAATGTGCACTCAGAGACTATAGCTCCATAATTTTAATGACGTGGCCAAGTTATGGAGGCGACTGATGATACTTTGTTCATAGGAGGACATCTAGCGGTTTTTATTGTAAGTGCAGCTTGAATGTTGCAATAAATGTCCACCGTAGTGAAAACTGTGGCTGACCTGCTGGCAAGGTTCTTTCGAGATTCAGGACATTTTGCATTTTTAAGAATGTTGACAAACTATAAGCTAACAACAACCTTGACTGTAACTCACTAGCCACACCGTTGAGTACACCCACTACTGAGCTCCAATATGAAAGTTGTATCAAATCCATTCACCGTTATTCACTTAAATCGGAGAAATTTAGCAGGTAGAAGGAGATTTTTCGTATTCTCATTTTCACCTGTCTTCTGAAGCTTGATTGATTGCTACCTGGGCCCTGAGCAACTGTGATGTCATTTTCAGTCGACAGCAAGTGGCAAAATGGCCGCCCCCTGAGATGGACAAAATTGTGTGGATTTTACTTCATAACTCATATTCCACAAACGCAATATTAATCAAAATGACATTTTTTTAGACTAGCTGCATAAGAGCATCTCATTGTAAAGAACATTTTTGGGTTGACTTCCCTGTTAAGAACATTTGATGAATGAGCTGTAATGTGTTTCTAGTAGTGCAGGACTGTACTGAATCGTACGGAGGTTTCTAAAGCACCATTTTAGTCGTCAAATTTGATTATATTTTAAGGTGGAAATGAGAATTCTCTCTGAGACAGACACCACTTGTACAAAACTTCAAACCACAATAATAAGTTCCATATGTCTTCGTGCCAGTCAATACCAACGTGATTATTTGTTTAATACTGTACAAGCGTTGTATTGAATCTCATTTAATTGTGCAGGAGTACTTTTAATATGCCCACTATTTCTTTTCCCAATCATGTTAAAGGTGATGTTCGGCTCATGTCCCACTTTTTTTCCACTCTCCTGACTGTAAACTATACTCTGTTTTCCATTCATCATTTGGCACAATGTCACTCTAGGCGACATTGTGTTAACTGATTAGATTACTTAAAAGTATCATTTAATCACAATTCTCTTCCTAACTTGAAACACTGTCGTAATCTTATTATCTTTGTCCCACTACTAAACCCTCCAACCCACTCCTCCAAACCCTGCACTCAACACTGCTATCAGACAGATTATATAATCGTCAGCCTCTGTAACTTTAAACCAGCAACAGCTGAGCGACACATTATCAAACTAACGTGTTCATCTAAACTTAAAAGTATTTCATTGAGGCAAAGCAGAGCACATGTTAAAGTGCGTATATTTGCATGTATTTTACATAATGTGTTGACTGTGTTCACTTGTAAATGTGGTTTTAAAGTAGTTTATGCTACAGGGAAATGACAGGCCCATCAACAATACAGAATGTGATATTTTACTCCTCCCACCCAAAAAAGACATTCACCCTTTTTTGCCAAAGTAGCAAACTTGCACCAAGCAACATTCACAACTGTAATCATTTTCAAGCTACACAACCTTTTGTAATCAATGTTATCAAAACGGAAGATTTTTAATTAAAAAAAAAAATAACTCAGATGCCGAAAGGATTAAGACACTCTCAGCTACATTTTCTTGAGTCACAATTAGTAAGATTATTCATTATTATAAAATCCTGATTGGAAGACTTGATCATTATTTTTGCCAATTATTACCTCCTTGGATGATCGATTTGGCATTGATATCGTCATCAATTGTGCTTTTTTTTTTCTTCTTAATTTCAAATTTGCTGTTGTTACCACCCCCCCCC